ATATACAACTTATAATTAACAAACAAAAAAAAACCAATTACATTCAGGTAAACTAATCTTCCGAATTATCATCGATATCTGATGACAGATCGGATGACTAGTCCGATAACATCATATCATCTTCGGATAATCTATCTCCGTTGATAACGACGAACTCCTCATCCTCATCTGGTATCACCGATGTTTTACAGGGCCCAGGACTATCAGGGTATGTGGAATGGTGCAAGTGACTCTGATCTGGGTCACCGTCGGCCAAAACAAATGTCTCAATGCTCTACATGTCATCGTCACTATCATCGACATAAAAGACACTTGTGGTGTCACATGGTATATCGTTTGGCTGTAAAGAATAGAAAAAATATATTTATAGTAGCAATTCAAACACAAAGCGTAAAGGAAATATATAAATATAAATAAATAAATAACGCTAATTGCTCAACAGAAAGGTTAACTAAACCATTTACATGACAATCCTGAGCTAAATCAAACTAACAAGAACTTTAGAAACTTTCTCTGAACATACTCATAACAATCAATATAGTACTTATAAATTGACTTCCAAATTAACAATGCATATTCCAATTTCGTTCTGATATATGGAGAATACAAAAAACAGTGACACTGGACGGCTAAAGCTTCTACAGTTTCTAACAATCATACCGTACGCTCGCGAAGCTTCACTCGTCACTCACCCTTTGAGCTATGTGGAGTGAAAAATTCAGTTTACGGACAAAAAACTTCACACAAACCCTTAATTGAGTTATAACGATTTATGTAAGCATCCCCAATTTTATAATTAAATGTGCAAGCAGAAGTTTTCATGGAAAAGCTGACTACACTACACTTAGACGCATTAAGAAATAAATTATTCTCGTCATACCAAGCCACTAAAGAATCAATATCAGGTTGAAGTGCGATACAATCAGTCTCAGATTCAATAATACTGAATAATTTTAAACATCCGCAAAGAGGAGTTTATTAAAACTTAAATTCAACACGACCAATAAATAATGTAATTAATAGAGGAGCAAGATGTGAACCCTGAGGCACTCCCGATTTAGTTATATAGTGGTACGACTTGAATCCATTAAAAGAAACATACGGATACTGCATTGAGGGTCAAATGGAATTTGATTTGGATGGAAGGCGAGTAAAACAAATATAAATACACTTACATCGCATACCGGAAATGAAGGGTATATACTGGTTGAGTCCGCCGTCATCCGAGTTGGTTCCTTTTCCCCTTCTTCGTCTGTTTCCATTTCATCATCACTGGAATCGGGCTGCAATAACAAGAAATAACATCTCTGAGTTGTGAATCAAACACAAACAATACATCACATGATTTAAAAGCAAGGTAGAAAAAATATATACATACCTCAAAAGGTAATACAAAGTCCCTTCTTTCACTAACCATTTCTATTTTTTCCTTGTGTGGATGTAGTTGAATAAATTTGGACTAGAATTATTCAAATACCGAAGCGTCCTATCGAGCTTGCTCTACCATGCTATATATATCACAATAGGGTGACTTTCTGTCAGAGGCATTGTATTGGCCAAGCCTCATCCCAATCAGGTAGTTGGAAATTCTCAATCCGAATTTATGGCAGCTATCATTGTTAGAGTATACAATTCGTACGTTGTGTATCTTCAGCTTAACAATGGTATCGAGCACATCTTCATATGCTTGATGAACTTTCAGGAAGAATCTATCCTTATCTTCAATGTGAAATTTGAAAATTTGATCGCCTTCACTCAGTTGATGAAAAAATTTTATGGCATTACAAAATAATGAAACGTACCTCCTTTTCTCTTAGTTTTCCATAGTAATGATATCTATCATTTCCGCATATTCATGTATTTATCATGCGTTGATGTTCGATGAAATAACAACAACTCATTATATCATGTATTTATCCATATTGAGAAACCGAATCCTGACCGTGAGACCTTCGCTATTAACACAGGTGAAATTGCATAGATTTGTGGCAGAAATGCCAAACATTCCTTGTTGAAATTTGTCCCAAAACACTATACAGTGCCTTTATTTAAACCCTTATAGTATATACCATGACAGCTTGGGGTACCACCTGCTATATATAGGAGCAGGTGCATATACGGAAGTACTAAACACTCTTTATAGATAGTTTTCTGGGAATAGTGTAATAAAAAAAAAGTCCCTTCTTTCACCAGCAGCCATTTCTATTTTTTCTTGTGTGGATGTTGTCGAATATTAGGACGCATATTATGAAAAGAAATCCTGAACGCACAATCGAACTTGCCCTTCCGCCTTTTGTTGGGTACTTCGACAAAATTTAAGCAAAGAGGACTCTATACTTTTTTTAATTCTCTCTAGCTTTCAATGGACTTTGCCATCATCATCAGGAGCTGCAATTACAATGATAACAGTAGCAACAAAAGTGTAAAATGAATTTAAATTGACTCAACTTACAGTAGTATGGATAGGATGAGGGAAACCTCCAGTAATATGGTGAGAGCTGGATAGATGGTACAATGGTCAAAATTATATAAAATATGACAAGACAAGTTAAAAACAGATTAAAAATTATTTAAAAAACATTAGAGCATTACATCGTGAAGCCACTTGATGATTGCACAAAATGGTGGTCATGGAATAATGAGTGAGATGAACCTTTGACAGAAGGTCGAAGGTTGTCAATGTCTGTGTTGAAAAATGGAACGAATTGTGGGCGTGTGCCAAACGTTGCCAAATCACTTCAGATGATGTGATTTTACCAGAATGTTATGTAAGAAATTGTTAAACCGACCAGAGGCAGTTGAATAAACCATATTTTAATTAATGGGAATTTAAATTAACAATTATTAATAAATCGTGAGAAGAGAATTATTAGATTTTGAGTGGAATGAAATTTGTTGGTGGAATCGGCCAAAACACAGATTATATTTATGGTTGTGAAAAGTCGAAATTTGGGGAGATATGTAAGTTCTCCAATTTTTCGCAGTTTAGCAAATATGAGTAAATGACACTCAGTTGTTTAACATTTAACATTTAACATTCGTTCCATTTTTCAACACAGACATTGACAACCTTCGACCTTCTGTCAAAGGTTCATCTCACTCATTATTCCATGACCACCATTTTGTGCAATCATCAAGTGGCTTCACGATGTAATGCTCTAATGTTTTTTAAATAATTTTTAAACTGTTTTTAACTTGTCTTGTCATATTTTATATAATTTTGACCATTGTACCATCTATCCAGCTCTCACCATGTTACTGGACGTTTCCCTCATCCTATACGTAAACAACAATTAGCAACATCCTCACATACTACTGTAAGTTGAGTCAATTTAAATTCATTTTACACTTTTGTTGCTACTGTTATCATTGTAATTGCAGCTCCTGATGATGATGGCAAAGTCCATTGAAAGCTAGAGAGAATTAAAAAAAGTATAGAGTCCTCTTTGCTTAAATTTTGTCGAAGTACCCAACAAAAGGCGGAAGCTTTAATTTTTCACCTAACTGGTCTAGACGACAATGACCACGTCTCAAGTTATATATATATATACAGGGTGACTTTGAAGTTGAGTCATTAATTTTCAGATAATGATTGTAGAAGGAAGATAAACCAAAATATGTGTGTAAAAATAAAAAAAAATTAAAAAAAATTTTACCTTGTTTCATAAAGTATCCTCCCGACAAGTATTTCAGTGCGGACCTGTATTTGATCGTGAGGTCCCCTGTGAGGTCTTAAGTCACCTGATTCACGAGCCCGTTGTACTACATTAACAAAGGCACGAGGGGTTGGTTGCACTCGATTGGGAAACCGATCCGCATAAACATGTGCCATTTTTTATTTCACTATTCACACGCGACTGAAACTGACTGTATGTATAACTGAACTGAATTGTAATCGTAAAAACATCGTTCCAAATTCTTTCGCTTTTTTGTTTCCGATGCGATGAACCGTTGTTGCCAAACACGAACACATGATATTATTGAGACAGGGCGGTACTCAAACTTCCAAAGGGCTATAACTTTGTTACTTTAATTTTACCAGAAAAATGGTAAAGGAAAAAAACATTTCTTTTGATCAGATCTACACACTGTTAAAATAAATGACTCAACTTCGAAGTCACCCTGTATATATCACAGAGGAGTGACTTTCTATCACAGGCATTGTATTGGGCAAGCCTCACCCCATTCAGGTGGTTGGCAATTCTCAATTCGAATTTATGGCAGCTATCATTGTTAGTGTATACAATTTGTACATTGTGTATCTTCAGCTATCGTTATCTTTAATGTGAAATTTGAAAATTTCCAGAAGGCTGCAGACATCTGTCGGAAACTTAAAATTTCTTTGATCGCCTTCACTCAGTTGATGGAAAAAATTTAAGGCATTACAATATAATGTATTCATGTATTTATCATGCGTTGATGTTCTTCAATGAAATAACAACTCAATATGTCAGGTATTTATTTAATAAGGATGCATTGCATAATCCTATAGCAAACTAAATAAATAGTGTTCAATCCTCATACACGAGGTTATATTGGAGGATAATTTCCGGAGGTAAACACCTTGCAATCTCACACAGAAATGATCTAAGGTTATAATTAATCATATCACTACAAAACTGCTCAATAGTACAATCTTCTTGTAGATACTGCGTACACAACTTCTGCCCTTCCTCGTATTTCCGAATTAGTCTCCTGACCCTTTCAACCTTGTTATCATCCCAACAAATATTCATATCGTAGTTTGTTGAATGATAGCTGTCCGTAGATCCTTTGAATCAGTCCAACGCAATGATGCATAATGCATCCACATCTTGTCAAACCAAAGGGGGTGTACTGCTTCTGAAAAGATAAATATAATGGTCAATATCAAGTGGAACATGATATTTGTCAAAACAACTTTACCTGCTGCATTTTCCTAACCCAGTTGCAATCTGAACCTTTATATTACTTACACCCAACATATACTAAGTGACATATAAATCCGAACACCCAGTTTAAATGGTTTTATTTTAATAAAATTTTGTATAAGTACTTAATGAAGCATAATAAGTAAATGATAAAAAATTCAAAATGATTGCACTGCTTTAAAGCCCTTTGACCTTTAATAATCTGTGGATGCACCCTGATGTGCTACGCATTCTCCAACGCGCCTAGGCATGCTTCTGATCATGTGGTCAATGTCCTCCTGTGGTATCTCATTCCAGGCAACCACCAACTCCTCTCGAAGTGCTTCTAGAGTCTGAGGAGGACGTTGCAAATTGAGCAATCTCCTACCCATCATATCCCACACGTGCTCAATTGGGGATAAGTCGGGAGATCTTGGTGGCCATGGTAACAGTGTGACATCATTATGTTGAAAGAAGTCTATTGTGACTCTTGCAACATGTGGTCGGGCATTATCTTGTTGGAAAGTTGGATCTGCCAGGGTGTCAAGATAGGGTAAAAGATGGGGTTCTAGAACTTCGTGGATATAACGCTGCGCGTTCATGTTACCTCTGATGAAGATTAAAGGTGACCTGGAACCATAAGCTATAGCACCCCAAACCATAACTCCAACAGTGTGATAAACATGTCTTTCAACAAAAAACTGTGGATTCCTCCTTTCACCACTTCGCCTTCTAACCCTGGCACCACCATCGTGCATGCCTAAACAAAATCGAGACTCGTCACTAAAGACAATACTGTTCCATTCCTGATCCCAGAGTGACCGTTGTCTGCACCACTCAAGGCGATTACGTCGGTGTTCTCGAGTTAAAGGGAGGACCCAGTGTGGCCGGTATGAAAACAAGCCAAAACTTCTCATTCATCGGTAAACACTTCGCATGCCAATAGGTCTTTCGTGTTCTGCAAACCATTCATTTGCAATGGACCTGGTAGTGGAGAAACGGTCCCTTAAGGCCAATAATCTTAGGCGGCGATCTTCACGGTCTGTTGTTCTACGGCGGCGTCCAGTGCTCCTTGCTCTTTGCGTACGGCCTTCTCGAAGCCATGCCTGACAACACCTAACCACAGTGTCTACACTTCTTTGCACTCTAACTTCAATTGCCCGAAAAGAAAGTCCAGCTTCCCGAAGTCCCACTATAAGGCCCATATCAAACTCACTAAGTTGACGAAATCGTACAGGTCTCCGTACTCTAGGCATCGTAACCGATCGTAAAGGATGTCAAGAACCAAAATCCGCCAACGGTGATTCTTTACTGCGGCTGAAATATTCATTTTTAGCGCGTTAGTGAATTCAAAAAAAGCAGTATAAAAACCGGAATGTCCAACTGATAAGGCTGAAAATTTTTTCACTTGTTATTTACAGTAAGATAAATACATTCACCAACTTTTATTATAATAAAACCATTTAAACTGGGTGTTCGGATTTATATGTCACTTAGTATATTTGCCTATACTACCTCATATTTTTTT